ACCAGCGGAGGATTGGCTACAATTTAAAGAGTAGTGAAACAAGGCAATTCAGCAGCCATTTAGCGAGCGGAGACCACAGTGCGGCTCCACTAAAAGCAACGATAGCTGATCATAATGTGAGGACATTGTGAAACAAAATGTTCAGACTGGAGATCTCTGCCAGTGTCTGCATGTGTGTGATTCCTTGTGTGTGTGTGTGTGTGTGTCTGTGTTTGTGCACCTTACATGTGCTGTCATACACATGTTGTCCTCACTCCCTCCCTCAGCTGAGGCAGCAGACACGCATGCTCAGACACACAAGATTCAACTCTGTGTTCTCTGAGATGTTGGAAACAAAGTCGTTTGTCCATCAGATGTGTAAATGGAGGGAGTAAGATGGAGGTGGAGGAGCTGGGAGAACCACGGGTGAAAATCTTGAGAGTAATGGCTCCTCATATTTAGTTATTTTATTCCTCGATAGATTTCTCTGTAGGTTCCATTTTCTCGCCTGACCGCCGCTCGCTGTGAATCTCTTCCGCTGCACCCTTACTCATTTTGTCTCTTCATATCCCTTTCCTCTGCTTCTCACCGCCCTTCCTCTGTCATCCTCTTCCTCAGCTCATAGCATCGAACATGGAGGGAAAGAGCAGTCCCAGTGAAGTGTTGGTGTGCACCACCAATCCAGACAAACCAGGCCCTCCATCCACACCCTGTGTCACCACAGCGACGCCCTACGGATTCACCGTCACATGGGGTAAACACAGACACATGTACTGCCACACGGATGAAAATATTTTTATAACACACATACAAACACACTCAAAAGATGCAAGTAAAAATATAGACACTAGCATAATTTCCCCCATCTAACGCACAACCCAACATGTGAAGCTCATTGACCTCTGACCTTTATTCTCACCAGATCCAACATTTATGTCATTTATGTTTATTATATTATATTATATTTCCTGAAGCCATACAGATTATGTGGGAAAATGTTATATATTCTATCTAAATTGTTGCTCCTGATATTTATATGTGACTAAACTAAATCCATCAACAGATCCTCCACAGGACAACGGGGGCTCAGAGGCTCTGACGTACCTGCTCGAGATCTCAGAGGGCTGCTCTGAAGGTACGATTTCCATCCATCCGTCTGTTTGTTTGTCCGCCCGTCCAGCAACTCCATACATTCATCTAATTAATACGCTTGTTCTCAGTCTGTGCTCTTATAAAACAAAGCACAACATGTACCATGTGTCCCCTCTCCACTGTACCTGTTCTCTCCATGTGTTTATTTCCCTCACTTACTCCCCCTAAGAGGAATAGCGTCCATGATTCACTCTTCGTTAGCATCAATTTAACACAAAGCATCACTTGGATTGCCTCAGATCTGCTCTTCAGGAAACTAAGTGTTCTCTTGTGTCTTTGAGTTCATATCGCAGTGAGAAAAACGGGACATGATTTACTTTAATTTGTGATTTTCCAGAATCAACAGGAATGCATCTTTTTAAGTTACGACACTGCTTTGGGCCTAGTTGGTTAATTAGTCTAGGTTGATGTACTTGGTTAATTCAGTTTCAAATTTTTTTTTCTAACTCTGTGCTTTTCCATCAGTGACCGGATATGATATGGTTTATTTCAACTTAGTCAGCTGTGCATTCGTTGATCAATACCAGAAAAGTCAAGACTGTTTTTAGGGATCAGTTAAAAATCTTAATCATGAAACTTCAGAACTAAGTGCACAGCCAAACATTTCTTGGCCTCTGCTTCGGCGACATCTGAGGGCGGAGGCATTTTGTGATTTGAGATTTCGACCATTTTTCCAGCAAGCTGGTGGAGGAACCATGATTGGCCTCTTCTCCATCAACTGTCTATTGTTCCTTTTCGCTCCCCTTTTTTTCTTTGTCCTTTTTCATCATCACTCTGACTTCCAGAGCGGTGGTTAATGCTCAGGATGTCTCTGATTCATCCCATTTTACTTTATGCGATTCTGACGACTGTGTGTGTGTGTGTGTGTGTGTGTG